GCAAAGCCTCCTCAGTGCCTTAACCAGGCGGCACTTTGGGCCCCAAACCCGCCGTCCACCACCCCAGCCTCTTAAGAATAAAAACAAATATTTGGGCTGTATGCTAGTGTACTCGGGTTGGGCTTTCTTTGGGAAGCTAAAAATAGGTGCATCTCGGTGTCCCCGGGGATCCCTCCCTACCCGCCTGCCCGGTCGGCAGGTTGTGCAAGGTCTACACCACCTCTGGGGCCAGAGCCAAGTTCTGACTTAACTGAGGAGTCAGAGGAGAAGGAAAGGGAGGAGAGGAGGGGGTGGGGAGAGCAAGAGGCTTGGGGGGAGGGGAGGGCAGGTGTAAGGGAAGGGTCATCCCTGGCACACTGGGCCCCAGAGGGAGCGGCTGAGGGATCTCCTTGGCAGGCCTGGGGGGGCCGAGCCCAAGGCCGACGGTAGTGCGAGTGAAGTCTGGAGAGGAAGTCCGGCCCCTTGCTGCTGTCCTCCGCGGTCACAGCCGTAGTCCCCTGCAGGCCGGCTGAGAGGTGGCCCGGGCCTCCAGCCTGCCCCAGCATTCCCTGGATGCAGCGGCCAGAGCCGCGTGTCCTTGGGGTCTGTGTCATTTCTGGGGCTCACAGTGCAAGCAGTGGGCTGGACGCAGGCTTGGGGTGAGCCAGTCAAGGGTCAGGCAGGCACTGCGTACGCTGTGAAGCACGAATGCACACACACACATCTGCATCCTCCATGAGGTGACCTGACCATCACAGGGCCATCGTCCCTGCCCTGCCGTCCCCAGGAGCAGGTGCCCCTGTGGGGCCGTCCCGCCCTTGTCACATTCCCCACTCTGTCCAGCCTGCAGAGGACAGCGGGGCCCTCCCAGCTTCGGCGGGGTGGCAGGGGTTCTTGGGGGCTCCTGCTTGGTGGCCACTTTGCTGCCACCATCAGTGGGCCTCGATGGTGGGGGGCAGGGAACTGCATGCAGCTCCATCACTGCCCTCTCCCAGGATCCTTCCTGCAGCACCGAGACAGTGTCACCCCAGTTCACAGAGGAAACGGAGGCAGGCCCCTCCACTCCTCTCCTCTCACCTGGAGCCCCAGGCAAAGACTCAAAGGACAGCAGAGGGCCCGGCCTGGGGACTCCACTGTTCTGCATACAAGAGACTCCAGGATCCCACTGCTTCTCTGAAGCCACATGACACCCACAATGCAGCGCCCCACCCCTACTTGGGGCCCTGCTGCCGCAAGGCTGGGGACCCTCCAGGACCCTCTTTGTCTGCTGGCAGCAATGCCCACTCTGCAGCCCGAGTCTGGAGGGAGAACTGGGCCTGCAGCCCCCCGGCTTGGCAGTGCTTGTCCTCCGTCCCCTGGGCTCAGCGGAATGCCCCCCTGCCGCCCAGCTCCCCTGTCCTGCTGCACCGCCCAGCTGCCTCTCCGCCCCACTGGCCCTGCTGTTCGGGATGCACCCTGACTCACCCATGAGCTGTTTCCTATGCGGCTTGTCATCTCCCCCCGGGGGGCACCCCTGTGGGCAGGGCTTTGCAGGCACCCAGGAGGAAAGCCATGAGATTTGAGTTACGCAGCAAAGAGCTCCTGGCTTCCTACGGGGACCCCAGGGCAGGCACCAGGGGAATGACCAAGTAAAACGGGGCTCCCAGAACCTGTCTTCCTGCCCCAAGCAGGATGCAGACCGCTTGCTGCCACAGACATAGACTCCTGGGACCCCGGGCCAAAAAGCACAGCCTCAGAACTGTGGGTCAGAGCTCGGCAGGGCTCCAGCTCCTGCTCCCTGGGGTAGAGATCAAACTGTGCTTGAATTCCTCTAGTGACGGGCGCCTCCCCACTTCAGCCTCTGACCTGGCAGCTGCTGGGCCCCAGGGTGAGTGGGAGGCACCCATGGGCTTCAGTGTCACAGTCCTTTCACCAGAGTGGGGCCTTCGAGACGGCGAGGGCCGCACCCTGCAGCAGGCCTGCCCGGACTCCCAGAGATAGCGAATGACTCAGCTGCCCCTGTGGCTGCTTCCCCATCCCAGAGAGTTTGCTGTGAGACGTAATCAATCCTCTGGCCTGGGAACCCGGAGGGGAAGAGGGTATATCAGCCTAAGCGTGTTCTCAGGGGCCCAAACTCAGTGCTGTGGTTCCTCAGGTGCTCCTGCTTGTCCCTGCTCTTTTCTGTCCTTCTCCCTCCAAGAAGCAGTGACTGGGTGTCCCCACTCCAGGCTCAAGCTCCTCCTGCTCTCCACACTGTTCCTAGCCAGCCCTGTAGCCTGGCAAGGCAAGGAAGGACCCCTGGCTCCAGAACATGGAAGACCCCAGCCTGTGTCCCCTCCATCTGCCTGTGGCCTCCTCACAAGGCCACGGGTCTCCTTTGGCGGCCACATATCCAGCTTCAGTCAGAAACGTAGGGATTCTACTACAGAGAAAAGTAGGTACCCTGCTCAGAGAAAGTACACACTCTACCCTGAGGAAGTAGGGACCCAGCTCAGAGGGAGTAGGGACCCGGCTCATGGGGAGTAGGGACCCAGCTCATGGGGAGTAGGGACCCAGCTCTTGGGGAGTAGGGACCCGGCTCATGGGGAGTA